GCCAAATACATGTCGAAATTCGGCGGCCGAAAAGTCCAGACATCGGCCAGATGAATTCCCAGCGCAGAGAGAACATTACAAAGAGCTTTCAAGAAGCAATAATGCTGCACATTCTCAGCACCAACACTTGCTGCTGCACTGAAAATAATACATTCAATGCGTTTTGAAATTCCAAACATTACTACTTCTAAAATTTCCTTTCTGATGCAATGAAATTTCCCGGGTTCTCACTTGGACATAGCCAACCATACCATACGCATGCGATATATGCATGTGTAAAAAATTAGAATCATTTTTTGCCGAAGCAGCGTTGCGCTTGTTCATTCTGCGACGATATCGATGTGATGAATATCTGGCCCTTTTTCATAAGCAATAATCCTAAACTCTGTTCATTTTTTTAATCAAGTGCATGGCATGCATTTGTGTCCAGTTTGATAAATAAACTTGTCGTGGTAACGCATCGTTTCATACCATATGCAACGAGTAGAACTATAAAAGACCTTCCTGCTCTCAGCTTTTTGTCAGCTATTCAAGCACGTACACCTGAACCTCTTTGTAGATCATCTGACTGCTCTAACATCCCATACAGATTACCACCATATTACATTACCGCTTTGATCAGATACCTTTTCATCCTTAAGTCACATCACACATCACGCCATCAACACAGTGCGCATCAAAATGACTGCTGCGATCAAACAACAATGCCTTCTAGATCTGGTATCCATTTCCATGCTACCCAGTTTTAAACATTCGAAAATATACCGCAATCCTTTCCCTGCTCATGAAAAAAGTCTACGAAAATCTATGGCAAAGGCATACTTTGCGACCGACAGAATTGAGCGCATTGGAACGTCACCGAAGAGTGCAAACAAAACACGATTTTCGCCATTTTTAACATTTTTACGGGAAGCCAATCGCCACAGACAAGTTGCTGCCTAAAAAAATTTTTTTCGAAAAATGTAACAATAAAAACAGGCAGGTTTTTTTGCCGCCAAAAGCATGTAAAATTTGCTGTCTTTGTATGCATCCTCGAAACATCCTGACAACTCTACCACTGAAGCATCATTATTGTCGTCTTCTCTAGATGTATAAATTTCGACAATCACCGTTTCTTATTTCTTTCGTCTTTTTACCTCAGTTAATTGCTATTACATTTGTTTCAACTACAAAATGGCTAAAAAAACCAAACACACCGCTTCGTATATCGAGTACTGAGGGATTTCCAAACAAGCACAAATCAAAGACAATAAATCGTTGAGCAACTCTGGTTTCAGTGTATGCGCCGGTACCCACTCGGCTAGCTCACCAAACAGATCAAGCGCCGAACGGATTAAATGAAACGATTCATCTGCAACAAAATCATCCTTTTGTAACGCTAAAAACAATTGAACTTTGGACGCAAAAACTCCATACACTCGAAATATGAAATCTCCAATTCCAGCCCATTCCTGCGGTAGTGTAAAACACAAACATGAAGGAAAATCTTTTAAAACAATGCACGGATTGTCACTATCGTGCTCCTTCTCGTCAACGGCGCAACATCTGCTATGGCCATTTTCCACTGTTTTTTATATGTAGCATCTAAGTAATCCCACAAACATGTTTTTTTTCATCTTTGTTTCTTATAACCTATACAACTTTTGCATAAACTGTCCGAACAATATCCACTACACTAGGCGGTTCGTTCACTGTGCTGCACGTTACGATCTAC